ATGTGGTTCGAAGACCTGCTGGGCGAGGTTTCTGGCTTAAAATCATTTTCAATGATTGACCTGAAAAATCATGCGAAAAATGTTTCAAGTATTTTGCAGAATTTAAACCAACTCTGTGGAAACGCGATTTAAAGTTTTGCCTCGTTTCAACGATTTTGAAAATTCCATTAGTAAATGTACTCAATGTGCGAAAAACAGTTATCTTCCGATTGGCTTCAAAATCATTTGAAAATATCTTCGTGAATATTTATCTGATATGTTTTTCGACAAATCCTGTCTTTAGATATATACCAAAATGCATGAATCAAATGTTCATCTATATCTATTAATTAGTCGCTTAGTTTCCCACTAATATAAAATTTATAAATGAATTTTTATAATAATCAATTCGAATCGAATAATCGGTTATTTTTGAAGCAGGGCAATTTTCTTAGTTTCGATCCCACAGTTTTTACGTGTTTAGCTTTTTAGCCAAATGGGAAGGTGAATCAAAGAGTTCAATTTTTATTTAAAAATATCCTTTATTAACATATATTTTTGTATACTTGTTGCATTTATAGCATGGTCTGCCTGCAGGACGAGTTTGGTCACCTGGGACTAGCTGCCACAGATCTGCCTTTCAAATCGGCAGACCTTGATTCTGCTGCACCGCAGCACCACAACAACTATGCGGAGATCACGGACAGCAGTGCGGAGAATACGTGCCAGCAACGCTGGCCACCACATGCCGGAGGTGGGGGCTTGGCCAGTGCCTTTGGGCATCCGGACAAGCCCATCGGCTGGATGTATGGCCTGCTGGGCTGCATGAAGCCTGTGCTATCCTTTATTGGCAAGGCGGGTGTTATCGAGGTGAAGAACCAGCGCGCCGAAGACTGGGAAATACCGTTTGAGTCCATTACGGATCTGGAATGGTTGGGCAGCGGTGCCCAAGGCGCAGTCTTTAGCGGCAAGTTAAAGAGCGAAATTGTGGCTGTCAAGAAAGTGAAGGAGCTGAAGGAGACGGACATTAAGCACTTGCGCAAGCTGGATCACGAGAACATTATCAAATTCAAGTGGGTAGCGGTAATATATATAGATTTGAATTAGATGATAAACATAAGATTTGCTTTTGCAGAGGCGTTTGCACCCAATCGCCCGTATTTTGCATCATCATGGAGTTCTGTCCGTACGGCCCGCTGCAGAACATACTGAAGGAGGAGCAGGTCATGTTGCCGTCCCGTTTGGTCTCTTGGTCCAAACAAATAGCGCTGGGCATGCAATATTTGCACTCGCACAAGATCATACACAGAGATCTGAAAAGTCCGAAGTGAGTTGAGAAATTGGAATTCTAAAGCAAAATGAAGCTCTGAATATTCTCAATTCTCTTGAATCCCCCAGCATACTGATTAGTACAAACGAAGTGGTGAAGATCAGCGACTTTGGCACCAGTCGCGAGTGGAATGAGATTAGCACCAAGATGAGCTTCGCGGGCACTGTCGCCTGGATGGCGCCGGAGGTCATTCGGAACGAACCCTGCTCCGAGAAGGTCGACATATGGTCGTATGGCGTGGTACTCTGGGAAATGCTCACCTGTGAAATACCCTACAAGGATGTCGACTCATCGGCCATTATTTGGGGCGTGGGCAATAACTCGCTCAAGCTGCTGGTGCCCAGCACCTGTCCCGAGGGATTCAAGCTGCTCGTCAAGCTCTGCTGGAAGAGCAAGCCGCGCAATCGGCCCTCGTTCCGGCAAATACTCAGCCATCTGGACATTGCCGGGCCGGAGTTGTTGCGCAAAACCGAAAAGCAATATTTTGAGACGCAAAAGTCTTGGAAGGAGGAGGTTCGCTGCCATCTCAAGGAGATCACTCAGAATGGCACCAGCATACACAAATACGAGCAGGATTTGATTAAACGACGCACCGCCGAGTGGCGTCACGCCCAGGACATTCGCATGGTCTACGAGGACAAGCTGCAGAAGACAAATCAATTGTTCTTCGAGCTAAGCGAATGCATGACACAGCTGCAGGAGAAGGAGAAGGAAATTGCCGAGTAAGTTGACGATCTCTCCTGCGAATACGCATAACTAATAATATTAATTTTTTGCTCAGGCGGGAACGCAAATTGCCCGGTTCCGGCTACAAGCCCACAAGGCGTTTGGGCAACACACTCAGGAAAATGCAACACTATCGACGACGACTGAATGCGCCAACAGCACAACAAATCCAACAACAGCAATCCTCAACGCCCGATCCAGAGACCACGCCAGAGGTAAGTCTATATATACGCATATCTACGAAACTTTAATTAATTTGCTTTTCTTTTACGCTTTAGAGTCCCGTCAAGTGTGTGCTGTATGCGCAGCTGGATGGCAATTGCCAGCCTAAATCCTATTGTGCTGTGGGCACCACTCTCGTCGTCGGCGGCAGCATGTCCAACAAAAATAAGAAGACTTGGCGTCATCGACGCAATGGCTCTGGTTCCTTTGCCGCCCCGCCCAAGTACAGTCCTACGCGCGATCGTCGCTATCAGAGCGAGCCTGAGAATCGCAAGGTTCAATTGGTCGAGCGGCAAACTCAAACGGATGCCATGGATGTCAGCGAAACGGATATAAGTCCCAGCGCTGAGCATCCAACTGATGTACCGCCTCCCAACCATCGCCAGCTGCCGCTACAGCTTCAACGCGTCCAACAGCTGGCTGCCGCCATGGCCCAGGCCAAGGTTCAGAGTAGCCAGATTCCAGCCAGTAGCGACAGCAACTCAGCGCCAGCCAACGCCGCTTGTCCATCGAACGGCAACTCGCTGAGCAACAGCGAGCTGACCTATCAGGATGCCTGCTCCAGTCCCGATCAGCTCATTGACGACGTGATGAACAGCAACGAGCGCTTAGACATAACTGACTGCTACAGCGACAATGAAAATCTCGAGCGTTTGGGCCGCAAAGTCATCGAATTCATCAACGAGAACCGCCTTTCCATACAATCAAATGCCACGGAAAATGGTAATGGCGGCAGCGGTGGTAGCGGACACACCACAACGGCGCCGGAGCTGCGTGATGTGGGCGTGAACAGCAGTCCATGCCTGAGTCGCTGCAGCAGCACGCAGAGCAGAAGACAGGCTAGACAGCAGCTGGCGGAGAATACAACAGTGAACACCAGCAATGCCAATGGAGATTCGTTGCAAGAACCTTTGGGCGAGGACAGCTGGTCAGATGAGGAGGGGGAAGATACTGACTATAACTATGCGCTCCGCAGAAGAAGGTCTGTTTATTGTTGTCGGAATCATGTAGATCATGTCCAGGTTAACTGAACTCTTAAATCCTTACAGCATTGGACGCCTGCCGATTGGACGCGGCATGCGGCCGAGACGCAGCTATAAGGCACCTTTGTCCCAAAAGATTGCCATACACAAGCGCAACGTGGTCATCGTATCCGACGAGGAGAATACCTCCGAATACAGTCATTCGCCCTCGAGCCAACACTCAACGCTAGAAAGCAATACGGATGTGCCGGCAGCTTTGAAGCAGACACAACAACAGCCACGCAAAAACGCGACCAACAGTTCCAGCGATTCAAGTGACTCCAGCGAAGAGGAACTGGATGCGGAGGAGGCGACTAAGCCGAAAATTGCGGCGAACGCTTCAGCGTTACCCATGGGCGCCACACGCAGCAGCGATATTATATCCATACCGACATTTGAGGCTGATGGCGCAGTTAATATGGTTTAACCTAGTTACGCATAGCCTAAGTGAATGCTCCTACAACAATTAACCGAAATCAACTATCTCTTTATATACTCAAAAACCCCCCCCAAAACACTGTATGGTATTATCTATGTCATATGTCATACATATATGTATCTTCATGTCCGATATCTGTGTGCATCGTCTCTTTAGTTTAAACAATATGGACAACAAATTGAAGCGTTGATCGCTTCACTTAAAGTTTTTCCATAACCTCAGTCTTAACCTCCATGTTGACTTGTAAGGGTTTGGGACAAACTTACCCATTTGTTTGGATGCAATTCCTATGCTGAAAACTTATGATTTATGTTTTGTTTAATTGTGTAAGCTGCCTTTGTAATATATTTTTTTAAAAAATGCCGTAATTGTACATTTAATTTAGTCATTAGGTAGATTTCAAACTTAAGAGCTTAACCGCAACACGCTCCCAACTAAAAACAAAAAAAGAGAAAAAACCCAACAAAACAAAATCAAACCAAAACAGAAAGAAAAAGAAAATGTAATAGAGTTGGCCTCAGGCAATATATAGGAAAAAGTGAAATATATATATATGTGTAAAGCAAAATAGTCAGGGATATTTTTTATATAACGAAATTTGCTAAGAGATCGACGAAAATGTTTTTTAAAGAAGCGCATAATATAATTTTGTAGCTTGCATTGGAATTACTTCAATTACAACAATTTTGAAGCAATTCCATTTCCGGTACTTACTTTTTCGATATGCACAAAATTCAAAGCTTCAGTGCCTTAAAGCAAATATTTGAGAATCGACAAAAACAAGCAAAAAACAAAAAAAAAAAATACAAAATAAAAAAAACTATATAGTAAAAATATAGTTTGAAAATCTGTAAAATAGCTAATGACCGCGGCTATGACGTGGAACATGTGCGCTTTTCTATATTCCTCCCACACCATAAACAGAACTATTAAATATTTGCAATAATAGATTCCATAAATTGTCCGCTTTATTTAAATTCAAAATGATTCCACTCGAAAGCGCACATCACGCTGCATACAAATAAAAATATATATATATATATATATACATATATTATAAAAAAAAAAAATTTCAAAACGAATTACAAATTTAAAATATTTCTATATACACTCAATAATATACACGCTATATATTTATACACTAGTTGGATGTTTAGCTACTTATCATAAGATGCGTCGCATGCAAACATTTCGCTACATTATGTAAATTCCATATTAAGTTTAAATTTAACGACTCATACGAATTAGCTGTAATCTTAATTAAAACAAAAACCGAAAAAAGTAATCAATTAAGATATTTACTGATGGACCTTGAATAGATTTATATGTGGTTTACTTAGAGGCTTCCCCTTTTTGAGTAAGCGTTATAAATCCTATGAACGTACGCCAGATTGATTCACATTTAAATTAAATAGATCGTATTTACTGGATCTCTTTACAACAAATTTTGAAGTTTCAAAATGTTAAAAGAAAAAAAAAATTATTTAAAAACAGATTTTATTTGCATCTACGTTCCACGAACCAGAAACTGATCGAACTGCGGCGAGCACTGATCCATTCGTGAGCGCAGCATTCTTAAAGCTTTCGTTTCCCGTGAGTCAATCATAAAACAGACCACCTCAAATTGAGTCTGGAAGGGCAATAGACCGGCGGTGCCGTTGCTCAGATCCAAATGTCTAAAGCGATCAATGTTGCAGGTGCAACCATCGAATACGTAAAACCTTACAGAAGTTGGCGCAGCTCGAGTCTGTTTCGGCTGCTTAAAGACCACATAATTGCCCCAAGGGGTTATGGTTAGCACCCGATTGGTTACTTTGAATGCGGAGTCCAGCAGGCGGTTCAGGCTCTCCACGGTGCCGCTTTCGGAGCCAGCGACGGCCAGATTATGCGGATATTTCGTGTAGACGGGATAGGATATCGATGCAGTCTCAGCACCTCCTTCCAAATGATGTCTATTCTGTGTGACTTTAACGGGCGGACAGCTTGTCGAAGCATCGTCAGTTTTTCTCTGATTGGTAGTATACCTGGAGCATTGGCAGCGACAGCAATTATCAAGCCGGAGCTGTCTAACATTGATGGGGCGATACCTGGCACACAGCTTGGCTTCAAGCTCGGAAAACTTGCACTCCGTCAGAGGCGTTTTTACAGGCTGCGGCACTTTGGTGCCTTTAGCCGGCGCTTTCCTTTCCGCCAGAGGCTTTTCTCCATGCTGCAGCACTTCGATGCTTTCCTTTCTACCCGGTGCTTTGATTTCCGTTTCCTTTTTGGACACAGGCGCAATTTCCATTGGCTTGGATCCCATCGCAGGAACGGACTTTCGTTTATTTCTGAGCTGAGCCATGGGAACCGGCTCTACGTTAGTAGACACACTACCTGGTTTTTCCTTAGTTAATGTTACTTGTTTTTTTCCAGGTGACTGTAAGGAACGTTTTTTAGAGTATAGCCCGATCTCGGCTGATCTTGGAGAGCTTCTACTTACCGGTTGCCGTTTAGTACTTGGTTTCGCACTAGGAGGCTTAGTTTTGGTGTCCTGTTTGGCAGGCATTATAATCTCCACCTCGACCTGCTCCAAGAAACCATCCTCACTCTCCTCATCCTCTTCAGAAGGTGGAGTATCGATCGTAAAGAGCATTGTGTCTTCCGTTCTACTTATCACATCCGGCTCATAGTCGCTTATCTCAACCAGAAGCTTATCGCAGTTGCCCAGCTGCTGCGGGAAATCGATGGGCTCGTTGAGCTGCTTTACCACACAGTAGGCATCTTCGGGCGTTGGCTTCAGGGCAAACCCTTGGGGGCACTTCTCTATATTCTTGATGCGCAGCACGTGAATATAGAAAATAGAATGCCGATTGGACTCCTTAAGCAGTTGATGGAACACATTGAGCATGGTAGTCAAATCCCGAAACATGCGCACCGTGGCACATTTGTCGGATTTGGTACCATCTTTGCTCGCCTTCTGGCTGACCACTATATGCCGATAGGGATCGAGCAAATAGTAAAAGTTGTCCTTGCACCACAGAGCATACATTTGATTGTTGATCTGGAACAAAGCGTTGCCAAAGTCCCTCAGGATATGCCGGATCTCATACTCAAAATCGTTGCCCTAGATTTGAAAAAAGTTTGTCAAAAACGAAAATAATAAATTGTTAATTAATTATATATAATTAATTAATTAATTCTAGTGAGAACAAATCCCAATTCTAAGGAACTCAAAAATATAAACATGGCTGCGGATTCTCAAAAATAAGCTTGGGAACCTGCTTTCCTGCATCCATAAAAGCAACCTGGATTTGTCATAAGCTTTCCAAAATGTGAGTAAGACAAGTCGATTTCTAATTTATAGTTTAAAATTGCCCATTCTACTGAAAATAATGCCTATTGCGCATATTTTCATACAGAAATCTTGGGCTACATTTGATCTCTAGCCAAAATTGGCCTTGGGCCTGAGTCTAGTATAAAACCTATTTTATTTTACTAAACCGACTTGGAACAAGCCTTCTAAGCCTTGAATAACTATGTTAAAATATCAATTGGGGTCGACAACCCGCAAGCTCTATAGCTTGGTTCTACCGCGCAGAATTTGTAACAGAATAAGCGCCCACCTGATACGTGAGGCCACAACGCCATTGCCCATTGGCGACTTCCGGCATGAGCTTTATCTCCGCAACAAACTGTCCAAGGCGCAGCTGTGTGGGAAATTTGTCCAAGCTAATGGGCAAACGATCCTTCACATTTGCGCCCCAGCAACTGCGGCAGAGCTCGACCCCGTAACAGATGAGGCGATCAAACATGTTCGTATTCCAGGAGGCGGGATGATCGATATGGGATGCCAATATGCCAGCCACGCCCACAATAATGCTGCAGTAATTGCGCACCGCTGCCTCCGGATTCAGCGATAGATGCAGATTACTCTTGAGATAGGCATAATCATTGCTGATGACATTATACTCAAGGTCGCGCTGATTGGTGTCCCGCAGAAATGTCCGGCCATCGGGGGTAACCAGTCGCACCACGGCCAGCTCACGTATGGTAAACTCGCCGTCCGGATTATCGCCACTTAGATTGCTTATCAGATGGACCACATTGTCCAGGGTCTGGAGGCAAACCAACATGGCCACACCAGGTCGAACGCTGACCAAATCATTGGATCGTCGACCCTTGACGTCCATCACAAAGTACAACTGGCGCCGGCGCCAGATCAGCAGATAGCCCGCCTTGTGCAGCAGCAGGCAGTAATGGGCATTCTGAAAGAAGCTGTGCAGCACCTGTTTCAGATTCTTCATAATGTGCTTTGGCCGCAGATCCACTGCCTCGTCCTCGTTGCCCAAATAGGGCGGCCTTAGCTCGAGCGTGAAATCATGGCCCTCTAGTTTGAAACTGCGCTTGATGTGCTGCTCGATGCTGGTGTAGGCGGACGACTTGTGCTGCGGCCCATCGGCGGTGTCCTCGGAGCTGGTTTGGAATAGTTCTTCGCCCTCGACGAGCAATTTGTCAATGTTATCGGTGCGCCACTCCTCCTCGGGCAGCACGTATATCAAAGCGAACGCCTTCAGATATGTGGCATAGTCCTGGGCAATTGTGGAAGCATGCAGTTCCTCCTCGAGGCAAGCGCAGCGTCGCGCTAACGGCGCACGGGAACAGGTAAGACCTATGGCCGCTCCCACCGAATCGGGTTCCACATTGGAGCGAGTTTTGGATTTATATCCCTTGCAATCGAGCCTAATACGGCTTTTCGGCTGCTTTTCATTTAGTTCTTTGCAGACCGTGTGATGATTGGGGTCATCCAAGTTGTGGCCCAGGTACTTACAACTAGGCGGAAGAGATAGATTTTAGCAACTTATTATACACCTGTGTTCACATTAGACACCTGAGAGTCTCTGCGTTCTTGCTGCATATTGAAGGATTCTGACTGCAGTTGACACTATTTTGCCACTTTTTTACAAATGACATATTTGCCAAATTTGAAAAACCAATATTTGCATATATTTTTTTTTTCGATTTTTTGTGGAATTCCAAAGATTGGTTAATAGTACAACAAATAGAATAGTTTTTAATTTTTAGAATTTTAAATTTCTCTGTTGAGTTTAAACACAAATACGAACAACTAATTTACATTTTTTATTGTGCAATTGTACACCTCGGCAGTTCTCAATAACTATTTGTAATCCCAAACGTGAACATTCGGCTATCTTTGGCACGCCGAAAATTAAACACCCTTTTTATTACTAAGGCTTACGATTTGAGGTATTCGACGAGAATAGTGAGATTGTAATTGCTGAGTTTGGTAAAGGTTACTTGATAAACCAAATAGATTTTCACTTTACTAGAACGATTAGTTTCCATAGAAATACAAAAGAACTCAGGGACATGAACACATAATGTTCATCAAGACTGTCTATACATATATAATATATTATTTGTAACATACGTAAAATATATTATTTATAGGCAGATGTTTCCAATTCAGTTCACATACGAAATGAAATTGAAATACCCAATGAAAGGGTATAAAACGGAATTTAATTCGTGATCTTTAACGGACGTTTATTTGATTGGTCGATTCACTTGGCAGCTTTCAAATAACTCTTACAATCGATTTGTTATTGTTATCGATTAATATCGTGTCTGTATCAATCGAAAACACGTATCGCAATGTATGACAACATCGTTTGCTAAAATCCAAAACAAACAATTTATGCAAATTATGACATATTTAATTTATTTATAATTCTTCGATTTAGTTAACCCACAAAAGGACATCCAATCGAGGCTAGTGTGGTGTTTCTTAAGGATTTATTTAGTTAACAGCGATGAGGTTTAAATTACCTTACTTAATTAATGGGACCAGGAGCTTGTGTTTGGGCGGGAGGCTACAAGTCTTTGCCACTGCGTATTTGTGAGTGTGTATGTGCGTGTGTGTGTGTGTGATTGTTACAGTTAAACTGCTGTTGCTGGCGCGGCTTCAACATTCCATGGCAAGTGAATTGGAGTTCTCGTTGAGCGCCTTGACGCCATTCTCCATGGGCATGGCCAGGCTGTTGTCATCCATGGCCGCCTCATGGTGAGCCGACGCCGACGATGTTGTCGGCCCATCGTCGTGCATCATGTGGCCATCGTGTCCGTTCTCATGGCCGTTGCCATTGCTATTGCTGTGGCCATCGTCCCAGTTGATTTTGAAGCGTGTGACGCGCGGCTTGCTGGCCAGGATGTTACGTGTCAGCTTATCGAAGAGCGGCTTGGGCGGCGGATTTTCGCGCATCTCTTGATCGGCATAATCGTTGTTCACATAGTAACCAACACGCACAAATTCCTGGCCGCGATACGAACAGGTCAGTAGAACAATTGTGACGCCGACCGCATCTGGTTCTGGAATTTTGCTAACGTCTGGCGGATCGGCTTGGAAGACGAATATGTGACGGCCTTCGGGCACCGGGCCAACGTATATAGTGTCCAGCACTTGATCATACTCCTCAGACTCCGCGGAGCCCACGTAGATCATTTTCCATTCGAGATCCTCTTTCAGCTCCTCAATGCATTCGAATGTCAATTCGAACTGAAACGGATTGAAAAAGCTGCTTGGATTGTCCAGCACCACAACGTTGGTAATGTGCACCTTAGCCATGCTGACTGTACGCGCGGGGGCCAAAGACTTCTCTAGACAAAGATGACGCTGAACGGCGCGCTTTTTTGTTCGTTTTGTTTCGTGCTCTGTTGAAAGTGCTCAAAATGTTAACTCAAAATCAACGAGCGCTTAAAAAAAAGTTTCTTCTGAGTCGGCACGTATTTTCTTATCAATTAATTTTAGAATTTCTCAATGTTTTCAAATTTATTTTGCAGTGTGTTGCAAAAAATGCAGCAAATAAACTCAGTGAACAGCGAATGACAGCAGCTGATACAAGGCTTTCCCGCCAATTCCAGCTGTCAATACACGTTCAGACTGCACGATACGACACTGTGTATGTCTGGCAACGTTAAAAATACTAACAGCTTAAATGTACAAACCTTAAAATAGGTATCGTAATACCATTAGACAATCATAAATGAGTGATAAGGAATGCATTCTGATTTGAGAAGAATGCTAGCAATGCAAACGATGTTAGGCCAGCTTATCAGTTCAAACTGTTTTCAATAAGACGTTAAGATGCAGATATAAGGATGATATTACTTAAAGTGCCGTTTGTATATTGAACTTTAAATCTTAGTGTGACCAGCTGTAGTATGTAACCAAATTTCAAACTCGCAAAACTAATTTTGGTCACACCGCGAGTGATTGGCCGATTTGGGAGGTGTTTGTTTTTGTGTTAATATAAACCAAAATATATAAAATATGATACATCTGACAGGCCAAAACTATAATGCACGTGATATAATTAAGAACATATTTTCGCCATTGATCGGCGTGCTGAGCAGCAACCTGGCCGATGAGATATGCCATCGCAACAACTTGTCCTTCGTGGAGCTGCTGCAGCCGTTTGCCAAGCTGCCCAATGACGGTGAGTGAAGAAAATTTACGGTGTATACCAGACTGAAGCATGGAGACGGAAACTTGTCGCAACAGAAACAACTTTAACGAACCCAAGACCAATTATTAATGGATCCTAAACATAGGAGGGTGTCAGTGCTGTCAGTGCCCATTCCCTAGCATAGCTACTGAATTAGACGAAATGAAACTTAGTGATCTTTATATTAAATATCCATTTTCCATTTGGCTGACCCACAGCGCACTTTCGGGATGTATCCGGAACGACTGTCTCTGTGCGTGGCCTGCGTCTCAACTTCTGTGACGTGGACTGGCGTCCTCCACAAACCGTGCTGGCGCGGAAAATGCTCAACGAGTCGGTGACGAATGCGCACAATGAAAAGACAAGAATCGCCACAATTGGTAATAATGACTTGAAATTTATTCGCAATGTGCATTTTAGTCACGCTAACACACATATATTTTGCAGCTGGCATCGATCTGGAGGTGCCCACAGCGGAGCCCTGGTTTGAGCAATGGCGCGAAACCTTCTTGACTGTACAGTTTCCGGCGGAGCACGAGTTTACACGTCATTTGTTAAGCTGCCTGCTTGTGTTGTCCAGCGCCGACACACAGATTGTTGAAACGGCCCATAAACTGACGCAGCGCGTGCAGCAAATGCAAAACATAACGCCACAAAAGCTGCCCAAATGGTTCCAGCCCACAGAGGTGCTCAACAGCTACGTGGTGCTCCACGAGGCTAGCCAAGGGGATCTTTCAAAGGCGCAGCAGGGCTTTGAGCTCCTCAAGTCTACATTTGGTGACAATAAGTGCTTCCTGGTGTCGATCAACTCCAACGAGGGCAACAGCGCCAGCGATATACAGGACTTATGGACACACTATATTAAACGGCAGCCGAAGGCCGATCAGGCAACGTCCAGTGAGCTCAGTGCGCCCAAATCACCACAAGAAGCTGTCTCGGTGATAAGCATGCCGGCAATGCAAATGTCCCAGTTAATGGATAGCCAGGTTGCACAGGAAAACGATCTCACCATGCTGCATCCGCTGAGTCCCATGCAAGAGAGCGCCACCGAGGCCATCAACTCCAAGTTCAGCATCAGCAGCGAAAGCATCGCCTCGCAGACAATCAATCCGAATGTCTGGGCCAACGAGCTGGATGCGGATGCACCGCATGGCGGCTGCCTGGCTGCACGCGATGTTGATAATTTGCGTCATTTTGTGCAGGATTATGCGGTGCGTGCTTTGATACCCTATGTTGAGCATCTGGTGGTCACACTCAGCGAAGGAGTCACAAATAAAAAGGGCGTCAGCAAATCGCTGCTGAGTGCCACAAAACGTTGGTTCGTCACCAGCAAACCTGGGGCTGGCGCCAACAATCAAAATGCTGTCATGTAAGTCGCAATTAATGTACAATGACTAGAATCGGCTAGGATATATTTTGTACGCAGCATAGTACTGCCTCAAGGCGTATGGAGGTAGGCATTATATTAATATCATATCAGATCGTGTAAAGCTAATTCTGAATAGAAGACGCCACTTTTAGTTGACTTTCAAAGCGTGGCACATGCCTAAATTATGAAAATAGAGATCTTTCTGATGGCACATGCCTAAATTATGAAAATAGAGATCTTTCTGATCTCTTACCTGACTCTCGCTGATTCTCGCCTTTCTACTCGATTTTCATAAGCTCTCAACTATAGCCTGCAGATTTTGATGACTTGATGCAAAGAGATTATGCGCATATTTAACTTAAGACTGCCTTTACAAAATTCACAGCTATACGAATGAATCCGCGGAGCTGCAAACGCGCAAACTGGGCGATCTATACTTTATGTTTGGACACTATAATCTGGCCTTTCAGTCGTATCACCAGGCCAAGCGAGACTTTAATGCGGACTCCGCCTGGCAATACTATGCGGGCGCTCTAGAAATGGCTGCACTGTCAGCCTTTATGCTGGGAACTGCGCATCGCAAGACTTACGACTACATGGAGGATGCCATCGTATGCTATTTGACTGTGTGCAAGTAAGTTATCCATCTTACTTACTACGGTTACTTCAATGAAATCTACTTATTTTCATATGTCATAGGCTTCAGCAATTTGCCACACGTGCCACGCTGCTGAGCATGGAATGCTTAAAGACGGCGCGCCAGTACGGTGAGGTGGCCAAGCAGCTGATACGCATGACCAGCGAGGAATCGGATCTGCGTTCTGCGCTATTGCTCGAGCAGGCAGCATATTGTTTTCTGGTTACACAGCCGCCCATGCATCGCAAGTATGCTTTTCACATTGTGCTCGCCGGCAATCGGTATTCTCGGGCGGGGCAGCGAAAGCACGCCTATCGCTGCTATCGTCAGGCCTATCAGGTTTTTCAGCAGCGCCAGTGGAGTCTAGCCGAGGATCACATTCAATACACGGTGGCCAAGCAGGCGTATATGCTGAAGCAGCTGGAGGAGGCGAGTCGCTCTTTTGCCCATCTGTTGCGTCCAGGCAGCCTGCAGAGTGCCCAGCAGCAGAGTAGCTTTCTAAAGGAGTATATACAAACGCAGAATGTAAGTATTTTGCCTCCATTGCTTATTTATTTATTTACTCATTTTTTTATATATTCCAGGAGTTACTCAAGCGCAGTCCGGAGCTTGGTCTGTTGCCACACGCTTTGCCTCAAGTAGTCCAGTCCTCGGTACGCGTGCTGACACTTGTGCAGCCGCCCAGCGTGCAGCCGCCTCAAGTGCCAGCCAGCAACATAGATATAAACTCGAATTTGACCGCTGACGAATCAATTTGGCACAAGATTGAGGAAATGCTGGTCATCACAGCCGCATCCAATAAGCCGTTTGTATTTAAGCCTTCGCGTTATTTGTACACCAAGCAACAGCCGGCCACAGAATGTCCGCTGGCCGTGCAGGGAGAGCCCATTGAGTTGGCCGTAACGTTATCCAACAGTGTTCGCTGTCCCATTACGTTGTCAGACATTGATCTGCTTTGGCGGCTCACGCTGGACAATGAGGAGGTACTCTCCAATCTCTGCGTATACGAACAATCGTCGGACAGTGCCAGCAAAGCGGCTGTAAGTGCGGCCATCAAAACCAGCTGTCTGTCAGTATTAGAGCTGGCGGAACAGGCGAATCAACTACTGCACTTCAAGCTAACACCCAAGCTTACGGGGCGATTATCCATAGTGGGCGTGGTCTGTCGCGTCGCTGCCAAGGCGGAACCAACAGCCAGCTTGATGGGTCTTCTGCAGTTTGAGACACAACGCATTAAACCTTCGATGGCCAAACAATCCTCCCAGACCCTGCTGGACAACAGGCTGAGCATTAAGCTAGTGCCGCAGGTGCCTTCCCTGAGCGTCAGCTTTAGTCCAGTGCCCACCGAGTTGCTGGCTGGTGAAATTGTGCCCGTTTCGATAACGCTACGTAATTTGGGCATATCACCAATCGAGGAAATCTACTTGGGCTGCGATAATCCGCGTTGCCTGACCCTACTCGACCAACAGAATACTGAAGTGCCACTGACTATACTGAGCTGTAAGTGAATTATCTTTAAGTATGAAACGTGTTAATGCTGCGTTTTAACAGCACTGCGAAACCTCTCGAATGAAAAGCTGGTCAAGGATAAGGAAATACGGCGTCAACGCGTTTTCCGATTGCTTCAGCGCCCTGGACAGGCCGCACTGGATGCACAACAGGGACACACAATATCTATGTGGCTGCAGGCACCGTACACCGCTGGCGCGTTTACCCTACGCCTGCTCTTTTACTATGCGCTCCCAGCTGCTGCGAATGCACACATTAAATATCGCCTGGTGCGTCATATTTGGCAAGTGCAGGTGCAGAGTTGCCTGCAGGCGGAAGCCACTTGTGTGATCAGTAATGCCGTGACCCGCGAACTGGGTCTAGATGTTAGCCTAAAAAATGTGCATGCGGCACAGTCAACGGAAGTGTATATTAATTCCTTGTCCTTGTACTCCAGGGAGTATTCGTTGAAGCCACGAAATTTATATAGTAAGTCAACCTGGAACCAAGAGGCTACAAATTTGGTAAATTTGCTATTCTTTTTATTTTTATGCAGTTATGAACAACATGGAATTGTGCGCTGGCCAAGCTGGTGCCCATTGCCTCAAATCGGTCAAATGTTGCAGCTTTCAGTGTCGACTGCAGGGCAAAGAGATGGATGAACAACAAGATATGCCGACACTGCAAACCCTGTTGCAAACACGCTTGTCACGCATAGACATTATGCCGGCACAGCATGCCCAGCAATTGGAGCAGCATGCGCCTCAACTACAGGAGCCGCACAGCTTTCTGGCGAACGAGGAAACCGTTTACTTCAACACAAACATAAGTACGGAGGAGTTCAATGCCAGCATTGCTAGCTATGAGCCACATGCCACCATAGCGCTCAACTGGAGTGCACTAGTGCAACGAGACGATGTGCAGCGTGTGGCCAGTGGTCTGCACTTTATTAAACTGTATAATCTCTACGAAACCGGCAGTTGTCCAGCCGTTGGTGAAGCTTTGCTTTGGCGTCGACAGTCAACAAGCGAGTCACATAACAAGCGCGAATTCCAATTGCCAGAAGATGCTGGCAATGAAGCTGCCAGCGAGCCATTGGCCGATGATGACATGGCCGACTTCTGGGAGCCGAACGAACACTATGTGGCTCAGCGCTGTCTGCTCGAGGATGAGACATTTGTGCTATCAGCCAGAGCATAGGTAAGCTAAATAACGTTCCAAATATTGTGTCTTTTGCATGTGATTATACAGATCTACATAGCTAATAAATTGATTGTTAATCGACATGTTATAATACATATAAGATACCTGCAAGCACTGGATGAAACACACACATTGTTTAAGACATAAACTAATTTTATTTTCAAATGGTATACGAGTACGGAACTTAAGTCTCAGAGATACCGGCGTCGATCGACTTAGTCCTTTCTCCTTGTCTTTTACACTTTTTCAATTATTTATAAAGTTATTGTTGGAATCAGGACACATAAGAAAATGCCTATAGGCGAAGATGTGTTATTAGTTAGTTTATTAGTTGATTGATTTAAAAATGAATTAATTGTACATGCTAATAGATTGCTTACTCATGTAACATTAAAGTATTGTTAATTGCTTTTTTGGTATATGTATGTAAATCATAAGCAGTTGACTAGACAACGATGCGGTTTGCTTCAATAGATGTGGATGTGATGGCAGCGCAACGTAAATTTCTTGGTGGCAGGATATATTGATTACATTATTGGATTTAAGCGCGTTTCTTGCTCATGTAAACACGTCCGCACGCATACAAGACATGCGTGCAAGCATAAATATTGCCCAGAGCGCTGCCCAGCAGGGCGCCAATCACATTTGGTATGGGATAAGCCTGCCAGTCACGTCCCCAGTCCAGCGGGGCCACCACGCTGCCAGCCCAAGCGCCCAGGATGCCGCCGAGCGCATTGTACTTGAACAGATGCAACGCCGTATCCTCGCATTTGGTTATAAAGTCTGGCTTCTCGCAGAAGCACACCTGTAAAGCGCCACCGCCGCCGAGTAGGAAAACTGTAGGGGAAACCGTTAAGAGTGTCATCAGCAGCGACAGCACAAACGTCTGCTCGTAGTTAGCCAACACTGGTGCACCCAGAATGATGCAGATGAAGGCGTAGAGCAGGGTGCACAAAAACTGCAACGTTAGACCACCGAATAATTCGCGTGGCGTGAAATATGAAGCCTTTTTCTGGCGCTGCTTGACCGTCAGCACGCCATCCTCAATGCGTCCAAAGAAGCGTGCTAGTATTACTTTGAGCAGTTCGCCAATGAACACAATTGGTACAATCAGTGAATCCCAAAAGCTGCCCAGATGTGCCCAATTCCGACGGTACTGCATGTAGGTCATGCATATCAGTATTGTGGCCAGGCTAAGTGACACATGGAAGAGCTGATGCTTGGTCTTTTGCTGATCGAAACGTGATACCATATTGCCCACAAAACACGGAAAGTGGCAAGTATTTTTCTATTTACTTTCGTTTTAGCTAAGGATGTGCTGTAAGCGACAAGTCGACAATTCGATATGTGGTAGTGATGTGTAAATATTACAAAATACCGATGAATAGAACCAAGACAAGATTTACTACGTTGTTATTTTGAACTAAACCAAGTTCAATAACCAATACCAATACAATTACCGAATAAGGCGAACAATTATAAAATGTTGATTATTTATAATGTTAAGAATTTGCGAAAAGTTAATAAGACACAAGTAATCTAAATTGATTTAAGTCTAGAGTAGCCTCTATTTTTGGAACGCATGAACCAGATTAATAACCCAGCTACATGTTAAAATATATATCGATATAAAATATCGATTGTTTTGCAGCTAATTTGTCGCGCGGTGCTGTCATTTCATCAGCGCTATCACATAATCATTTTACACTTTAATTCTTTGCTGCTCCGGCACTTGTTTTTTTTATTAATTGGCATTCGTTTGTGCACAGAATCAATTGCAAAATGTTCACACGAGTCATACGTGTTCGCTCAATGCTGCGCGGCTTATCCACGGCAGTTGCCTGCACACGCAATCGTCATACCCAAAATTGCATGGTGGAATACTTTAACGAGGTGCGATTGCTGCGATACAAGGGAGCTGTGTCTGTGATGCAGCCACATCGCTTCTTTAGCCGAAAACGGGGCGATAACGAAGATGACCTAATGGGCGAGCCCGAACTTTTGGCTGATCACCGTGACTCGCAACAGCTGCCGGCGACCGTTGCCGTTCCGGATGTGTGGCCGCACGTGCCAATGTTGGCGATGCGACGAAATCCTCTATTTCCGCGTTTCATGAAGATCGTCGAGGTTGGTTGCTTAAACTCGAAATCGATTTTTATTTATTAACGCGCTTGTTTCTCTTACATAGATCTCGAATCCGATTATAATGGATCTGTTGCGTCGCAAGGTGAAGCTAAATCAGCCGTATGTAGGCGTTTTCCTTAAGAAATCCGACGGAGAAGAGGAGATCATACACAAGCTGGACGATGTCTATTCTGTGGGCACATTTGCTCAAATCCAGGAGCTACAAGATTTGGGCGATAAGCTGCGCATGGTGGTTGTCGCTCATCGACGTATTAAAATAACCGGCCAAGTTGTGGATGAAGTGCAGCCACCCACTAAACCAGGTAAATGCCAGACATAAACACTACCCAAATATTGTGACAATCGCGTCGTCTCTTAACTCCCAGTGAAAATGACTACTTTGCATTATCCACTATTTAATATGAAATTACGCATCCCAGCTGAAGATCAATCGACTGGTGCGGCTGATGCAACAGCAAAATCAGCCAGTCGAAGTGCGCGCAAGACCCGCGGACGCACCCCACGGCGACAAGCACACAAAATAAACGATGCAGCCAGTGCTGGGGAGCTTGCGCAGCGCCAAACGCTGGAGCCACCGCTGCCCAGTGGACGTGTGGAATCAACGGAACCACCTAAACCGACCAAGCCACTGGAAGATCTTACAAAACCACCACCAACAGCTGATAATGCTGGTAAGAGCACGGAAACGTCTACAGCCGCTCCGCCTACTGCGCCGCCCGTTCTCATTGTGGAAGTGGAGAATGTTAAGCAGCCGGCGTATAAGCAAACCGAAGAGGTCAAGGCTCTGACACAGGAGATTATCAAGACTTTGCGCGATATTATCACCATGAATCCTTTGTACAGGTAAGAGCCAATCTTCAGATCAGCGAAGTTTTATAATATAGCCATATTTCAACATTTCGCACTAAATCGAATGCCGCTTCTAGACATTTCTTTAGCCGTATTATGTAATATTTTGTATGGTAAATAGTTTTGGTAATTTTAAAACGACTTGAATCTAGCTAACTTATATAAATTTTGCTTTTCAAGCATTTTGCATGATCAGCATACTACTAGTTCATTTACCTAATAGGAATGCCGATTTTTGTTATTATAGAGAAAGCTTACAGCAAATGCTGCATCAGAATCAGCGAGTGGTTGATAATCCTATATACCTTTGTGATTTGGGCGCCTCATTGTCCGCTGGCGAACCAGCCGAACTGCAGAAAATTCTGGAAGAAACAGATGTAAGCATTTGATATATGTTCTGTGCCCTTGACTAAGCCCATCCCGATTTGTTTCCTTTAGATACCACAACGTCTTCTGCTCGCACTGGCGCTGCTCAAAAAAGAATTGGAGCTGTCGCGGCTGCAGCAAAAGATTGGACGCGAAGTGGAAGAGAAGGTTAAGCAGCAGCACCGAAAATACATACTCCAGGAGCAGCTGAAGGTCATTAAAAAGGAGTTGGGTATTGAGAAAGACGATAAGGATGCCATTGGCGAAAAATATCGCGAAAAACTCAAAGACAAAACTGTGCCGGAAAGCATCAAAACTGTTATTGACGAAGAGCTGACCAAGTTAAATTTCTTGGAAAGTCACAGCTCGGAATTTAAGTGAGTCGCCAGCTTTAAAATGTTAATACATATTTCATTAATTTGTCTCTATTGTAGTGTTACACGAAACTATTTAGACTGGCTCACCTCATTGCCTTGGGGCGTCATAAGTCCCGAGAATTTATGCCTTGAAAAGGCCACCGAAATTTTAAACAACGATCACTATGGCATGGAAGACATTAAGAAACGTATCTTGGAGTTCATTGCTGTTAGCTCTCTCAAGGGTACTACGCAAGGCAAAATTTTATGCTTCCATGGGCCGCCAGGCGTTGGCAAAACGAGCATAGCAAAGTCTATAGCACGCGCCTTAAATCGCGAGTACTTCCGCTTCAGCGTCGGTGGCATGACGGATGTGGCAGAGATTAAGGGTCATCGTCGCACCTATGTGGGCGCCATGCCTGGTAAACTTATACAGTGCCTGAAAAAGACCAAAACGGAAAATCCGTTGGTGCTTATCGATGAGGTTGACAAGATTGGAAAGTGAGTAAACAAACTATATATATAATCGATTAGTTCAGGCTGTTATTCATGTATCTTTCATTCAAACGACAGAGGTTATCAGGGAGATCCTAGCTCTGCACTGTTGGAGCTGTTAGATCCCGAACAAAACTCCAATTTTCTCGACCATTATTTGGATGTGCCCGTGGATCTGTCGCGTGTGTTATTTATTTGCACAGCGAATGTGATAGATACCATACCCGAACCTCTACGCGATCGCATGGAACTCATCGAAATGTCCGGATACGTTGCTGAAGAGAAGGTGGCAATTGCGCGACAATACCTGATACCACAGGCTATGAATGACTGTGGTCTAACCGAAAAGCAGATCAACATTACAGAAGATGCGCTTAACATGCTGATACGCAGCTATTGCCGTGAATCTGGTGTGCGTAATTTGCAGAAGCAGATCGAGAAAGTCATACGCAAGGTGGCGTTCCGCCTGGTCAAGAAGGAGGGCGAAGAGTTTCCCGTAAATGCCGATAATTTAACAACGTTTTTGGGCAAGCAAGTCTTCAGTTCCGATCGCATGTACAACGTAACCCCAGCTGGTGTTGTAATGGGCTTGGCCTGGACAGCAATGGGCGGTTCGTCCTTATACATTGAAACCTCCAGGCGTCATATACGAGCTGAGAAGCCTGAAACCAACGCCGGAGTGTTACATTTGACTGGTAACTTGGGCGATGTGATGAAGGAATCTGCACAAATTGCTTTGACCGTGGCACGAAACTTTTTGTATACGCATGACTCAAAGAACAAGTTCCTGGAGCAGGAGTAAGTAACAAGCATTATAGTTGTTTATTTAATGACTCATCTCATCATTTATTGGACTTGACAGACACATTCACCTGCACGTGCCTGAAGGATCTACGCCAAAAGATGGACCCAGCGCTGGTGTTACCATAATCACGGCCCTAATTTCACTGGCCACCGGGAAGCCAGTGCGTCCGGATGTGGCAATGACGGGTGAGGTCTCCTTGAAGGGCAAGGTCTTAACAGTGGGCGGAATTAAGGAGAAGACCATTGCGGTAAATCTATACCAAACCAATTGTAGGCAACATCACTTACAATAATTTATTTTATAGGCTCGTCGTAGCGGCGTCACTTGCCTTATTTTGCCAGCTGACAATAAGAAGGACTTTGAGGAGCTGCCCAGCTTCATAACCGATGGCTTGGAAGTGCACTTTGCCAGCGAATACGAGGATGTCTATAAGATTGCCTTTGGAGACGCAAAGTTAACGGCATTGCAAAGCGAACCTGACAGTACATCTGAGACGGCGCGTATTAAGATACCAAGCGCAGCCACAGCGACTGCAAAACCTCACAGCACATAGTCTTAGCCACTAAGTTTAGGCTAAGCTTTGGGTTGGGCCTAGGGGAGACACACTGAGTTCACATATACCATTTAGATATGGCTAATGTTAAACAATTTTTAGTATTTACATAGGTATATGTATTTAGAGCAAAGCATTTGTTAAGCTAATGCCAAGTAAATTTATTGTACATTTTAATATATGTTCATCTTATATATCCGCATTGGCTATGACCCACTCCAGATAGCGATCAACGCGCGTGTAGATGCCTGGACGCTTCGGTTCGCCACAGCGCAAACCCCAGGATACAATACCAATGGTGACCCAGCGCTGATTTGGCAACTGCACGAGCAACGGACCACCGCTATCACCCTGACAGCTGTCTAGGCCACCCTCCGGTAGTCCAGCGCAAAGGGCCGTATCCGGTATATGGTCCACAATGGCCGCTTGGCATTCCGATTGCTTCCATATCGGCAAACTTGCCTACAAACGGCAAAGACAAATATTGTTTTGAATGGCAGACTCGTGACCGTTGACAGGCTTACCTCCATGAGTATCTTGGAGTGTGGACCATTAAAATTGAGTGTGCCCCAGCCCATGACAATGCCATTGCGTCCGGTCCAATCTTCGTTTAACGGCGGCATGCATATCGGCCATATATATGTATTGAACAGTGTCGGACGCTCGATGCGTATGATGGCAATATCGTTTTCGTATGTTGTTGGATTATAGTCGATATGGAGCACCATGTTACCAATGCGAAAGTCGCGCGCGCGCGTCTCATTCAATTGCTGTTCGAAATGGAC